TTAGCACCTCAAAGTTTTCCATATCGTGAGTAAACTGAACAATATCTTAATTCTGTATGTATGTATTGTGTGTATGTATGTAGGTATGTATGAAATGTGTGTATATATGTATGTATGTATGTATGTATGTATGTATGTATGTATGTTAATTTTACATATATGTGTGTTTCTTAATGTTAACATTCAATGACTTATAATATAAATTTATTTATTGTTTTTTAATTTTGAGATATCTGTATCTGTACCTGTACCTGTATCTGTCCTGTACCTGTACCTGTACTTACATATCTGTACCTGTACCTGTACCTTGTACTTGTATCATGCTTTTGTACACTGCAATCAGTACCTGGTACTTGTACTTGTACTTGCAATTGCAATCTGCACCTGTACCTGTACCTGTAATGTACTTGTACCTGTACATCTTATATCTGTACCTGTACCTGCTTGTATCCGTAACTGTACCCGTACCTGTACTCCAGATCATTCTGTATCTGCATCTGTACCCGTACCTGTACCTGTACCTGTACCTGTACATGCATCTGTACCTGTACCTGTACTTGCATCCGTAACTGCACCTGTACCTGTACACCTGTCTGTATCTGGCCTACCTGTACCTGTGCAATCTGCATTTGCATCTGCAATTGCACCTGTGCTCTTGCCTGTACTTATACCTGGCCTGCACTTGCACCTGTACTTGTACCTGTGCTTGTGTATCTGTGTTGTATCTGTACTTGTGCTTGTATGTGTGCCTGTACTTCTGTGTACTTGCACTGTGCCTGTACCTGTACTTGTGCTTGTATGTGCCTGTACTTGTGCTGGCCTGTACTTGTGTATGCCTGTACTTGTACCTGTGCCTTATGCTTATATGTGTACACTGTATGTACCTGTGCCTTGCCTGTACACACACTTGTGCTTACTGTGCCCCATGTACCTGTGCAATTTGTACATGTATATCTGTACTTATTATCTGTACCTGTATGCTAGCCCTGTACTTATACCTGTACCTGTACTTATGTAACATACTTATGTACTGTACCTGTATCTGTACCTGTACTGTACTATCTGTACTTGTACCCGTACCCGTACTTGTAATTTGCACCTGTACTTGCACTTGTGCATCTCTGTACCCCTTGTATGTGCCAGCACTCCGTACCTGCATTCTGTACCCGTAATCTGCACTTCTGCTACTTGCACCTGCATCTGTGCCTGTACTTGTACTTCTGTACCTGTACTCTGTATCTGCAACTGTAATTTGCATTCAAAATTCCGGTACTCTGTACCGTACCTGGTACTTGTATCTGTAGCTCTTGCATGCACCTGCACTTCAGATATCTGTACCTGTACTTGTATCTGTCTGTACTCTGTGCATCTGCATCTCAATTCTTGTATCTGTACCTGTCCGCACTTGAATCTGTACCGCACCTGTACTTGTATCTGTACCTGTACTTGTATGTGCTGTACCCGTACTTGTATCTGTACCTCTGTATTGTAATCTGTACCTGTACTTTGCATTCTGTACCTTACTCTGTATCTGCACCTGTATCTGTGAATTTCTGTATCCACCTGCTTGTATCTGTACCTGTACTTGTTGTGCTTCATCTGTAATTTGCATTTGTATCTGTACCTGGTGTATTCCTTGTACCTGCACCTTGTGGTTGCAGTACTTACTACTGCATTCTGTACTTCTGTACTGTGTGTACCTGTGCTTGTACCATCCTGTGCTCTGCACTTGTATTGTGCACCTGCATTGTATCTGTACCTGTACCTGTACCCCATCAGGCCTGGTACTTGTATCTGCACTGTACTCTGTATCTGTACCTGTACCTGCTGATCTGCACTCGTACTTGTATCTGTACTGTACCTTATTCCTGTACTCTGTACTTGTACCTGCATACTTCCTGTACCTGTGTATGGTACCTGTACTTGTATATCTGTACTCTTGTACCTGTACCTGTGCCTGTATCTGCCTGTACCCCATTCTGGTATTCTGTATTCTGTACCTGTACTCTGTACCTGTACACCTGTGCTGTACCTGTACCTGTACTTGTGTACCCTGTATCTGTACTGTACTTGTATCTGTGCTTTCTGTGCCTGTGCTTGTATCTGTGCAGCACCTGTATTATGCCTGTGCTGCACCTGTACCTGTACTTGTGCTTGTACCTTTACTTGTATCTGTACTTGTGTCTGTATCTGTGCACCTGTGCTTGTACCTGTACTTGTGCCTGTACGTGTACCTGTGCTTGTGCAGCTCACTTGTATCTGTACCTGTACCTGTGCCAGCCTTGTACCTGTACTTGTACCTGTACACCTGTGCTTGTGCCTCATTTGTACCTGCACTTGTACCACTCTGTACCTGCACGTACCTGTGCTTGTGCCTTTACTTTGTATCTACTTGTACCTATATCTGTACCCTGTGCCTTGTACCTGTACTTGTGCCTGTACCCACCTATATCTGTACCTGTACTTCTGTACCCATACCTGTACTTGTACCTGTACTTGTACCTGTACTTGTGCCTGTACTATATCTGCACCTGTATTCTTGTACCTGTACTTGTACCTGTACCCAAAAAATGTACCTGTACTTGTATCTGCAACTGTACTTCTGCACCTGCTTGTATCTGTAACTGTACTTGCACCTGTTTCTGCATCTGCATCACCTGCATCTGTGCTCAAATTTCAAGATCCTGTACTGTACTTGTACCCGTACTGTCCTGTACCCAGTGCCTATATCTGTACATTCTGTATGTACCTGTGCCTGTTGTTATTACTTGTACCTGTACCTGTACCTGTACCTGTACTTGTACCTGTACCTGTATTTGTACCTATATCTGTACCTGTACCTGTAAACAAACGAGCTGTATTTTCGAACTCACTAATTAACTTAAAAATAAAACACTTTACATTGTTTACCATTGTTTTCTTCTATCTATCTATCTATCTATCTATCTATATATATATCTATCTATCTATCTATCTAATCAACGTATGAATTCATCTCTGTATCCGGGATTTTTTGGGCCACGTCTTAAATGAGGAATTCTACCTAAGATTCACCTTAAATTAATCTCAGTTCCTCCTCCATAGAAAACGGAACCTAAACTTGGGCTGCTGCGTCTCCTCTCCTCTCCTACCTCCTCTTCTTGCCTCCTCCTCCTCCAACAACTACAGGAAAGAGAGAGGGAGAGAAGGAGAGGTCTTACGCCATATTTTGAGGTTCTATACATCTCCTCCCTCCAACACACGTCTAGTTATGTCTCCAAAATCCCTTCATGGAGACGAGGAGGTCAACCACCACCACTAGGAAGAAATGGTGACGCCCAACAAGATGTCTTCCTTTCTTCCTCATATCTTCCTTATAGAGGTGAGTTTTTAATCCTTATTTTTTCCCCTCTTGATTATATTTATTTAAATGATGGAGACGATTGGTGGAGAATTGGTGGAAGGAGGGAGAAGCAGGGAGGAAGAGGGACGGGAGGGAGGGACGGGAGGGAGAGACGGGAGGGAGGGGACGGGAGGGAGGTAGAGTAATACAGTAGTTTGGGTCGCGTCCATTTTTTTTTCTCTCTCACTTTTTTCTTTCTCTCTCTCTTTCTTTCTTTCTTCTCTCTCTTTTTTATGTATATTTAACCGGTTTCGTTTTGTTTACATACATCTGTGAATGAGAGAGAGAGAGAGAGAGAGAGAGAGAGAGAGAGAGAGAGAGAGAGAGAGAGATCTTTCGTTAAATAATTTATTAAACTCAGGTACTTGTAGTTCGTTCTTCTCCCCACCCCCCCGTGTCCAACCATGTCCGCTATCTACTCAACTATGTCCGCTATCTACTCAACTATGTCCACTATCTTCTCAACTATGTCCGCTATCTACTCAACTATGTCCGCTATCTACTCAACTATGTCCGCTATCTACTCAACTCTGTCCGCTATCTACCCAATCACGTCCACTAGTTCCTGTGTCCAAGTATGTCCACTCTTACCTTTTCAACCATGTCCAATACTTGTCCAACCATATCTATAAACCAAGGACTAACCAATCCACCAATCCCTATATCCAATCCCCATGTCCAATCCCATGTCCAATCCCTATATCCAATCCCCATGTCCACTTCCTCCCGCCCGCCATTTTTTTGACCCCATGTCCATAAGAATAAAATAAATTCGAATAATGAAATTGGAGAAAAAATGCAAGAATGAGAATGAAAGTTAATAAATAAAAGGAATAGGAAGAAAGAAAGAAGAAAAGTAAACAAGGAGGTAAAGAAAGAGGGAATAAGGGATAGAATAGGAGAGAAAATCCAGGAATTAGAATAAGAATTGGAAGTAAGTAGAAGGACTGAATAATTAGGAGAAAGATTAAGAAAAAAGATGGAGAGAGAGAGAGAGAGAGATAAGAAAGTGTAAATAATAGAAAATAAGAAAGATTAATTAGACAAAACACAATAGAAAGATAGGAGGTGATAAATAAGGAATAAGCACAGACAAGAATAAGAAGGCAAATAAAAACAATAAGTAATAATTAAGAACATAAAAAAAAGTAAATAACAAGATAAAAATAATACAAGGAAGAGAAATAAACAAGAAAAATGAAACAAGAGAATAAGGAATAACCAAGAAAACCAAATTAAGAAAGGCGGTGTGAAGTAAAATAATAATAAACAGTAATAAAGGAAGAGTAGATGAATGAAGGAAGAAGGGTAGAGTAGGAGGAGGAAAGAGGGGGAAGGAGGAAGAAGGATGAGGAAGGAGGGAAGAAGGAAGGAGGGAAGAAGGATGGAGGGAAGAAGGAAGGAGGGAAGAAGGAAGGAGGAGGAAGGAGGAAGGAGGAGGAAGGAGGAAGGAGGGAAGAAGGAAGGAGGAGGAAGGAGGAAGGAGGGAAGAAGGAGGAGGCGAGAGTGCGGTTGAGGGAGGGAAAGGCGCATGATCACGGCAGCTTCATCAGCCCTCATTAGTGCGACGGAGCAGAGTGCCTTTAATTCACGAGAGAAAACAGTGGTTTATGCAGACCAGCGGCGGGAGGATGGAGACGTTCCTCGCTCTTCCCGCTACATAGTTCCCCCCCCTCCCCCCTTCTTCTTCTACTACTACTACTCCTCTCTTCACGCCCCTCCGTCCGGAATATTGATCCTGCAGAAGGTAACGACGCCCTCAGCAGGATATATACCAACTGGGGCAGGAACACCACCATCACTACCACACATACACACACTACCAGCTGCATGGACAACATCTCCACCCACTCTTCCTCCTCCTTATAAAGAACTTATTATCACCCTCCTCCTCCTCCTCTTCCTCCTCCTCCTCCTCCTTCTTCTTCTTCTTCCTTCCTCCTGGTGGTGGTGCCTCCTCGTCGTTCCTGATACTGTTACTACTATCTCAACTACTGCCGCTACTACTGCTGCTGCTGCTGCTGCTGTTAGCCGGTGGGTGTCTTTGTGTGACCCAATTATACAGTTATCAAGGTCTTGTTTCGTCAAGGTCAAGGTTGTTAATCACGTGGCGTTAACCCCTTACGGCCTAAGTTGACCTTGAGAAGTGTTGCGGTAGTTTGCAGGAAGTGACAAGGGTGTGCTTTAAGGTGCGTGTTAACTATAGTGTTACTTAAGTGTTACGTGGTGTTATACGTGTTGTGTTTGTGTTACTGTGTGTGTGTGTGTTGGTGGAGGGTAGTGGTGGTGATAATGATGGGGATACACTGTTGGAGAAGGCAGTGAGTGTTGTTGTTTGGGTGTTGGAGCTGACTGTGAGAGGTACCAGGCCACTGATGTACTCACTCTCTCTCACTCTCTCACTCTCTCTATCTCTCACGAAACCACACACACACACACTAACTCTACCATCTCAAATAACTACTCTCTCTCACATAACAACAATAACCAATCACCTAATCACCAATCACAACAAAGACACAAGTAACCCCTAAAAATAATATATAAAAATGACTTTATATTGAACTAAAACAAAAACAAAACAAGTAGATAACCTTGGCCTTAACAGCATGGCAGAGAGAGAGAGAGGGAGAGAGGGGGAGCAGGAGGAGAGAGAGAGAGGGAGAAAGGGGGAGAGAGGGTGATGGTGGATGGAGAGAGAGAAGGAGAAGGGCGGTATTGGGAGGGTTGGTGGGGGAGGAGGAGGAGTAGGAGGAGGAGTGTGGAGAGAGAGGGGGCAGAAAGTAAAAGCAGACTGCACATGCGTCAACACCCGGAGAGAGAGAGAGAGACAGAGAGAGAGACAGAGAGAGACAAGACCAATCCATATTCCTCGAGAGACACACCACTCCGCCTCTCCCTCCTTCCTACAACCTGTTACCCCAGACCCGCTCCTGCCTCTACCATTCTCTCCTCCTGACGTAGCTATACAGGAGCTATACACTGGCTATATAGTGAGATGTATAAAGGTAGATTCTTGCTATATCTTTTGTAGATGACGTAGCGGTGGATGGAAGAGAGAAGGAGAGGAAAAGGTTAAGATGCGGAGGAGAGCTGCGAAGTGGGAGGGTCAAGGGTGTGTGTGTGTGTGTGTGTGTGTGTGTGTGTGTGTGTGTGTGTATACAAGATGTAACTAACCTAACCTAACCCAAAATATATATGAACGACTCGAGTAACACCAAACAGCAGACGTAAACAAACATACGTACACCTGCATATTTCAGAGGGGTCTCATTAAGCCCAGGTGGCCCAGGTAAACTGCCCAGGTAAACTGCCCAGCCAACCATGCATGGGACATCTCGAGGCGAAAATAATGTCTGAAAAGTTTGAGGGAAATAACAGGGAAATAACGTTAAATCTTGACAAATAGATTCATATATTTTTTGGTGGGGTATAATGTAATTTTTTATATATTAAGTTTTATAATATATGTATTTTTTCTTAGAGAGAGAGAGAGAGAGAGAGAGAGAGAGAGAGAGAGAGAGAGAGAGAGAGAGAGAGAGAGAGAGAGTTTATTTTCTGATTATGAAATACTTGTCGGCCATTTTGAATTTATTTTTATTATATTCTGGTATATATTATGACCCTTATGTATATTACCAGGACACACACACACACACACACACACACACCTGTAATATTTCTAGACTAATAGCCTAACACAGGTATAGAATCATTATAAACAGATTTTTTTATTCATTATTATTATAAAGCTTTACTGAACTATATAAATCCCTCTGTTTATATACATTCCTCTAATAATTATTCTCTAGCACTATACTATATAAACAAATTAATTATATCCCTTATTTAATTTATATCACAAGTTCTAATAAATACCAATAAGTATTTTTAGGATTAATTATATAAGAAATAATATTATATAATCGCTAAATTAATTATCCACTTACTAAATATATTTCAACTTATAAAATATACTTTAATTATATAATCACGTCACAGGTGCATCATAATTAACCCTTTTCTAATATAAATCATTTAGTCATATATTTCCCATTATAGGTAATGTGTATAATTATTCCACTCAATTATTGGCGAAACCTCGTGGATTATAGGCAGAGAGATGAAGCAAATAATTATACGGTATATAACCAATTTAATCAATAATAACTATATAAATCTCCAAGCCACAAGAATTTAATTTTTATATATATACAAGATGGAAGTCACTGTGTGTTCAGATACTTTGTCTTTTATTAAAACTTTGTAGCCTTATAATTAGTTGTGGTTGTGGTTGGTGTTGTGGTGTTGGTGGTTGTTGTTGTGGTGGTGGTGATTGTTGTTGTGGTAGTTATTGTTCTCATTGTTGTTGTTGTGGTTGTCGTTGTGGTGATGGTGATTGTTGTTGTGGTAGTTATTGTTCTCATTGTTGTTGTTGTTGTTGTTGTTGAAAAAATTATCAAATACAATAATGTATAAAGATTAAATGAATCCTAACACTTCATAATTATATAAAACAACAACAACAATTATTTATTTATTTTTATCACGAATGAAAGTTTATATAGAAGAGATTTACATCATTATTTCCCGTTATAGAAATTATCTCCAAAACTATCTCTCTCCGCCCCCCCAAGTATATAGATTATTATTATAAATTTATTTCAGGTGTTTATTTTCTTAGCTTAGAGTTTAATGAATGTTTATTATTATTATTATTATTATTATTATTATTATTATTATTATTATTATGAACAAATTATATAAGAAATTACTGTTTACAAATTTATTCCCAAGACTATAATTTATTTCCGGCCACTTAACAGTTTATTCTCAATGACTATAATTTATTCCCAATATTCTTATAATGGCTGCGTTTTCACTGTTTACATACATAATGTGCACATATGAACGTAATTAACACGCGCTGTATGTCTTAGTTCGTGTACACATGTATGAATATATTTTTACATACATACATACATTCATACACACACACACACACACACACACACACACACACACACACACACACACACATACACACACACACACACACACACATACATACATACATTCATACACACACACACACACACACACACACCCAATATAGGTTCCCTCAATCAAGCAGGCTTGGGTGGCCTGTGTGCCATCAGTGTATGCAGATGAGAATGTCTCTCCCTCTCTCTCCCTCCTCCCTCCCTCCTCCCTCCCTCCCTCCTCCCTCCCTCCCTCCTCCCTCCCTCCCTCCCCTCCCCCGATTCCCACCCACCTCCACTCCTTCCATGTTTCCCACCCTCCTCCTCCTCCCTTCCATGTTTCCCTCCCTCCTCCATCTGCCTCCCAACTCCTCCTTCCCTCTCTCCCTCCCACCCAAATCCTACCTTCCCCCTCCCCCTCACTCTAAAATCCAGCTGTACCCCCTCCCTCACCCCTGCTTCCCCCCTCCCTCATCTACCTAACTAATAATCCTCCCCAACTCCCCTCTTCCCTTCTCTCCATGATCCTTCCCCTTCCCCTCCTCCCCTTTCTTCCCCAACCAACTAACCCCCACCCCACCTCCCCCCTACTCCCCAACCCCCACCATGGGAACTTTGATTGTTATGACTGAGTTCTTTGTGGCCTTATATGCAAATTAGGTGCGGCTGCTTTCATATTGTGTGTGTGTGTGTGTGTGTGTGTGTGTGTGTGTGTGTGTGTGAACGCGAGCGATTTTGGTGCTTGTGATGACCTACTCTAAGGGTGAGAGTTGTATATATGTATAGTCTTTACCTGTTGCTTTCTAGGGTGACTTTCTTCCCTTTCCTCCCTTTCTCCCTGTTTATTTATCTCCCTATTTCCTCCCTTCCTGCTTACTTTCTCTCTAACCCCTTCAGGAGGTAGGGGGGGGGGAAAGAGAGGTAAGGTCCCCTGCTGGAGATCTGCTCACAATACCCTGTCAACCCTGGCAGCAGAAGGTGAAGGCTGCCACAGTTACCCTTCCATAGTGTTGGGAGTTGGCTGTCCTCAAGCGGGGGTGGAGGTGTGGAGGTTGGGTGGGTGGAGGTGGGGGAGGAAGTCAGAAACATGCTTAGCTGCCGAACACACACACACACACACACACACACACACACACACACACACACACACACACACACAAACACCCCACATATTGACGTAATCTCAAACACACACACACACACACACACACAGGTAGAAAAGGTAAATGGTTTACTCCAGGTGTTTTAGCGGCTACAAGAAGGTCTGGAGGAAATACAAAAGAAAAATAAAAATGGAACCAAATAAAATAACCTTTGTAGATTTTTGGTCCCAGTAAAATGATTATGTAGCGAACCCCAGATCCAAATGGAAGACGGTGAGGCCATCAGTCCCCACACACACACACACACACACACACACACACACACCTACACACTTACACACCAAACATACAGGCACATATATTACTTATACACACACACACACACACACACACACACTACTCAGATGGTTCTATAAGATAACTACCTCCCCTGAATAATTCGCCTCCCCCAGATAACAACTACCCCAGGATAACTACCTCCCAGCATAACTACCCCAGGATAACCACCTCCCAGTATATAACTACCCCCAGGATAACTACCCCCCCAGTATAACTACCAACAGGATAACTACCCCCCATTGTCATTGAAGCTATACTGTTATTTTGTTATTTACTACACAATAATTCGTCTATAAATTAACTAAAGGTTCATCGGTACAAAAAATACAAAAAAAATACAACAAATATAAATAAATACAAAAAAAAATACAAGGTGGAATAAAAAATTAGGAAAATGAATGATTCGAGGTGTAAGGAAGAGTTGTATAATGATTAGAGGAGACTGGAGGATTGGAACAGTCGTGTGAAGATTGACTTTGGTCTCTTGAAAAGGTTTACGAGACTCAAGTGTCGACATAAATCTTATATTTCCCTTATTTACCATTGTGCTTGTGTCTCCTCCACCCTCACCACCCACCCACAACACCCACACCCACACCACCCACACCAC